TTACAATCGTGGTAGTAGCTATTAAAGACTGATGTTTAAAAATTAATATTAAAATGATATTCTTCTTCAAAGTATGTTCATTTATACAGTCTTTAAACCCTTCAATATTTCCTTACTCTTTTTTTGAGACAGTGCTAATAACCTCTTCTTTCATTTATTTCTGTGTATAATATTCCCTTCTTAGATTCCTCTAAAAGTTAAGATTTATGCTAACAAGAATTCTCTAGATTTGTTTCCATATTTCATGTTCAATTCTGTAAAGATCTCTTGAGATTTGCAGCATCTCTGTGCCACTGAATTTTGCTGAAGAATTTTTAACAAGTGGTCAAATCCTAAGAGACCCATTAAACTTCACATATGTTCACTGACAAGTAGACATTGGATATCTCATTGATTTTACTAATCTCTTGGGAGCTATGCTCCCTGAAGGCAGCACCTTATTTTAACTGAAAAAGGAAGAGTTGAATGATATGGGAAAGGCATTTCTGAACTATAAGACTAGATCAAAATTTGAGAAAGTCAGTAAGTCAATTCTCTTTGAGGAAAATACTGTATTTTATTTAAAAGTGAAATAATTTTATTTACATTAAGTCTCCTACCCTATGTCAAATAATTAACATTTGGGGAAAGGGATCTTGGCAATGAACTTCTTCTGAATCATGGATAGAGACTAGGATTTCTCTGGAGGCCCTATAATTACTTCTTTGGATCCCCTTTAGTTCCATCTCCCAAAGAAATATGAGAAACGATAGTTAAGTTTTTTTAAAACTTGTCAATTGTCCTCTCTTTTAACTGATCTTGATATTTCTCTGTGCTTTAGTTGTAAATCAAGCATCTTTTCCTTGCAAACCATTATAGTGTGACTTCATAAAAGTTCTTAATAGGGCAATCATTCACTACTTTGCTTTAATTAAAATCCAGCTTTCTCAATAGGGATATTGCTTACTCTGAAAGACACAACTTGTTGTTTTCCCAGAATTTAGAAGTGAGTCGGTATGCTTTTATTTCCACATTGCCTATACCAAATCATTGCCCTGTACTATAAAAACTCCTAAAGCTCTACCTATCCAACCAATTACAGAATTTTCTAAGTACTACCATAATTATTCCAGAACTTTCTCTTCACCCAAGTCCTATTATTGTCATTTGACTTCCCTTTCACACCTATGTAGTTGGTTCATCTAACAACTTAACCTCATAGGTTCTTGATTTCCTCAGCTCTGAGACCTATACTTTTTCTTGAACTCAATCACCTACTGTCTATATCCTACACATTTTTTTTGTCTCAGCCATTTCATATAAAAAATCATGCTTCAATATCTATAACAAAATACCCTCAAATAAAGATTCCTAGGTTGATCTTCAAAAATTTCTCATTCTTTTACATCTACTTTTCTTATTCTCTGATTGCACAGTGATCTAGACGACTTACCTATTTTCTAAATTTATCAGTTGCTCCTGTCTTAAATTTTTATTTCTTTAGATGAAATCACATGATTTCAATACACTATAACATAAGATACAACTACATTCAAGCTAATATCCTTAGCTTCTTTTATCACTCTTTCATGTGGTGCTATTTCACTTCCTGTTCTAACTTCTACTATTGGATTATAATTTTACACCACTTAGGGCCCCAATTATATCACACATACCTTTACTCTCAATAAACCACCTCTTCTACTGTAGGGCAAAAGTAAAAGACCTCAGAAAAAAATGATACAAATAGATTAAACAAACATATTTTTAGCTTCTTAATACCAATGAATTATTATCAGTGCTATGACAAGTGCTTAGAATCTATTGTTATTATTATTATTATATAAGGAGCTTAGATAAAAATCATGGCATGTATTTAATAAAATGTAGAAATTATTTGAAGCATTAAAATCCCTCTCAATTTTACCTCGTAATGAACAACACTCCTTTCTATAAACCTTGGGGTCATTCTCAGGAGAACAATATAAAAATAGATGACACAAAAAGGCTATTCCTACATTCTTAGTTCTTCATTACTCAATTTACATGGGCTTAAGAGTGGAATATTATCTTTATTTTATCAAGTCCAAAAGACCTACATGTGTATTTATGTATACTTTTATATCCACATGGATATTCCTTTGAAAGAAATTCAATTTTAGAAGTAAGCCTTTAAACTGGGAGACACATGATTGTGTGTTCTCAATTTCCTAGTATGACTTTAAGTGCAGAATGAAATCCCCCCAAAAATAAAATAATGAGCAACTTGATATGAGAACCCTGTGCTTTGCAGTTGTCTTTGCAATGACTTCTGCCACTTTTAATAGAATGTTTAATTAAGGCAGTTGTATTAGTTAAGATATAGCTTTGACTGATGTATTAAGTGTCTAAGTTAACAGAAGTTTTCCAAGATGGAATTTTGTTCCTTTCCCACTTCACAGTCCAAGTTGGTATTGTGGTATTCCATAAAGTCAGCAGAGGGTGAGGCTCCTTATTTCCTCTATTACTAGGGTAGTGTCCTCACCTGTATGGTCTCAGGTGTTTTGCTAACACACCCAGCAATCAGTGGAAAGGGAAGCAGTATGGTTTTAAATGATTCCTTAGAAGGTGTCTTCACTTCTGCTTTTATTGGCTGTACTTGGGCACAATAATTGTAAGGAGCCTAAGCAATGTAACTTTTTTTCTGACAGCCAGTTGCCCACCTAAGATCTGGAGATTCTATTACTATGAAGAGATTGAACAGACAATGAGAGACACTTAGCTGTTTTCACATTACCTCTTTAGCCACTCAAACATCCATATTCACCTTTTTTTCTACAAATGCAATACGTTTATGCCTTTCACAGTGATATGTAGTCTCTCCATGAAGTCCAGGTATAGCTCCTCAAAATTAAAGGACAATTTACCAACTTTCTCCCCATTAAATCATGCCATAGGAATAGGACACCTGCAATAAAACAGTTTTGGAGAAGAAAGACTAGAAAAATAGAGATACCGCTAGTTTTTATTAATTACAAAATCCTGGAAATGACCAAACCCTCAAATTTCCTGCCCTAGAAATGGAGTTGAGTTGCTTATTTAGTTAGGATCTATTTTTTGGAGGAACTCTCTCATTTGTTACCTCTGTGTTCAGTTTCTGGACCTGATCCCCTACCTATGCTATATGCGAGTAGGCATAGAGAATGGATCTTTCTGGTGTGTTCAGGGGAAGGGTGCACAGGGTTGTAGCTGTCTCCTGGTAGTGCAAGTTTGGGGCCCAGGGTTTGTTTTAGGAGTATAATTATCACTCTAGTTTTTTAAAGCTGGCAGTATAATTCTTAGAAAATTGCAGTAGACTCCTAACATATTTTCTTTTGTTCAACTTAATAAGCAAATTGACTCCAGCAGAGATCTTATTTAGGTGAGATTAAGCCTGAGAACTCCCTGACTTTTATTCACTGGTCTTTGGGTCAATTTCACAGCAGCATCTTGAGTCCAAGTGTCTTGGTGGGACAGCCACTCTTAGGCTGATGCTGCCACTGAGTTGGACTCATTATTTGGCTGTCATGATTTGGACCACAATTCTCTTTTTCCAGGAATGAAATTTTATATCTGGATACAGTTCTGGTGGCTATGATAGAGTGCAAGTAAGAGTGGCTTAACCAAGATAAAAGATTATTTCCCTGGCACATAGCAAAACAAGTTGGTACCAAAGTTCAGATTTACATGGCTGTCAGTGCTCAGGCTCCTTCTAGTTTTCTTTTGTCTCATTACTGTCTGGAGACCCTTGTGGTCAAACTCTCTGCCACATCTGCATGCTAGCCAGGAGAAAGAGGAATAGGATCAACCTCACACATGCAAAACAGTCACTAAAGTTGGTCACATGGTTATTGAGCAGTTGCAAGGGTAGCTGGGGAACAAATGTATTTCGGGCCTCCAGAATTCAGAAGGGGGTGGCAGCAACTAAAACTCACTACTTTGATATTGAGGCACATGTGATGGCTTTTAGTTTGCATTTATACTTATGAGTTGAGAAAACAAAGAAAATAATTGCTTTTTTATTCTTCTTTATGGAAATACACATTACATTCCCATTATAAACTTGGAACTAAGTTAAAAGTAAATTTCCTTTTTTCCTCCTTCAGTATCCCCTGCTGTCTAGTCCTAGGAGGTTAAAAATACTCAGAAAAACCCCATCTTTACTTCTCTAACATATCCGCAGGATGACTACTGTAGACACGTTAATTTTTTAAATTACAAGACTTTTAAATTTCTGTGTCTATGCAGACATCAAGACTTTACTCTTCTAACAGAATAAGGTTGACAGTGGGGATTGCCCATATTTTCAGATAATCTCAAAAATCCTCTGCCCCGTTCACTCATATGAAAAAGCGAGGCATCACTAATTGACATCATACCTGAGGATCGTTAGGGATTTTTAAAAGTGTGAGATTTGTTGCTCCCACCAAACTACTGCCCGGTGTCACAGAGGGCCGCCTTTAGACTGGGAGGCGAGTTGGGATCACGGTTTGACAAGTTCTATTTTAGGTCGCGCTGTGTGCAGGTGCCAGCCTCTTTCATGACTGTAGAAAAAGCAAAAAACAAGCAACAAACACACAAAAAACATTGCTGTCCATTTGTTTCCTTCTGGGCAATGCAGGATCGTCAGCCCTCCCGGGGCGTCTGTTTCTACTTTGCCAGCCACTTTCCCTTGTGTTGGGGGGGGAGGGGGAAGGAGGGGAGTAACAGGCGGACTGAATGCGAGGAAGGGCAAAGAACAGCAGAGAGAAGTCTTCGGCCATTCCCCTACCTTAAGGCACGTGGCAGTAGAGGCAGGTGGCTGCAACAAGGAGGATGGAGGATGAACCTCCTCCCAGTGAGAGGATCTAGAAGACAGGAGGAGGAGGTGGCGGCCGTGAGGAAAAGACACGCACTCAGTGTCCCTCCCCCTAGGGAGAGTCCACCCTTAAGGGGGCAGCCACAAGGAAGCCACCACCCGCCCCGCCTCTGCTAGTGGGCTGTAGGGTCTGGCAGAGGTCCCCATGCACCTGCTCACCTGTCAATCCGCTCAGGGTGGCCTTGGGGGAGGGCCAGAGGTGCGGGGTGGGTAGGGGAAGAGAAGGTGGGCAGGGCAAAGAGAAGCGGAGAAGCCAGGACTCCGCCCCGCACGCTCTGCGCAGGCGCAATGGCCGCTGCCGCAGGAGGGGGTGGCTCCACGGCTGAGTGAGCGACGGCGTCGGGGCTTCGCAAGGCTGTGGAGCTCAGAGCAGCATCGGCGGCAGCCTGCGTTTCCGCACGGGCCAGCGCCGTGGCCAGCTGCTCCTCCCTAGGGCTTTTCAGCTCCGGGGCAGCATCTCTGCCGGGCGGACAGACCTGGAGGTGGAGAGCAAGAGAGAGAAGAGACGGAAGAGAGAGGAGGCAGCGGCTCAGCTGAGCGGACACCGCCTCCCCTCAGGAAGAAGGCTGCGAATTCCCCGCCGCCGCCTCTGCCACCAACACCAGCGCCGCCGCCAACGCCACCGCCGCCACTGCTGCCGCCGACCTCACCGCCGCCACTGCCGCCGCCGCCTCCACCACCAGCGAGCCTGGGCCGGGCAGGGCGCCGAGCGGGCCGTCTGAGGCGCAGGCCGGAGCGGGCCCGGCACCGCAGCGCTGGTGGAGGCCGGGTCTCCGAGGCGACGGCCGAGGCAGGTACAACCGTACCGGAGGAGGCGGCGCCGCCGCTCGTCCCTTGTCCTCAGGAGGGGGCCAATGGCGAGCGACAAGCCGGTCCCGCCCGGGACTCGAGCCTCAGCCCGTGGAGCCCATCGCCGTCTGGGCCGGCAGCGGAGGCGGTGGCGATGGCGGCGGCAGCGGGATGGCGGGGCTGATGGGGCGTCCGGCTCCGGCTCCGGCTCCGGTTCCGCTCTCCGCGGGGACGAGTTACCTTTGGGTGCCGATCCGCACCATCCGGATGAAATTCGCAGTTTGGACTCCTGCAGGTCGGACAGATCAGCAGCAGGGACATCGTGGAGACGGTGCTCAACCTGGTAAGGGAAAAGGCGTCCCCAGTGTCCCCCACCCCATCCTTGGTCCCCAGCGCCCCCTGCACCCGGGGTCACCTGGGGTCAGCCACGCCGCGCGTCCCCGGGAGCACGGCTCGCCCCGCGGGTGCTGCCCAGCGGGTGACCTGCCCGCGCTGCAAAGCCAGGCCACCGTGCGTCCTCTGCTTGGTCCTCTCCTGCACCTGAGCAGTGCCCAGCTCCACAGCGCTGCTCATCCCTTCTCCTCCTCCTTGGCTTGTAGAACCTGAAGAAGTTTAATCTTTATACTGTACGCAGAGGATTGGGGATTTTTGGCGGTATTGGGATTTGAACTTAGGGCCTGTGCTTGCTAGGCAGGTCCTCTACACTTGAGCTACACCCCAGCACTGCAGAGGATTTCTGTTACGTAAGCTACTTGTTCAATTTTGGAAAGGTAATTATTAACGATAAACGAAGGATGAGTTTGGAGAAAGGTCAATCATACAATCATACTGGGAATCTTAAGTGAAGGATTTTAGATTTGTTCTAGGAAGATAAATCAAGCAAGTCAAGTAATCGATCATTTTTCTCATACCTTAGAATGGCTAGATTTCATTTTACTATTAATACGAGTTAAGTCCTGTATTATTACTTTTCTACCTGTAAATGGATCTCAGTACTTTTTTTTAGTCATAAATTTCAATGGTTAAGCTTCTGAAGAACAAATCCCATGCTTTCCCCTCCTTGTTTCAGTGATGTGAGCATAAGGAATGTTGTCAATTACGTTTGTATTCCAATACTGATTCCATTATCATTCTCTGGCATAGTTCTGGGCTGCAAAGATTCAACCTCATTTAATGAAATATTTGTGAAAACTAGCATAAAACATAGAAAATTGAAATTCTGAGGCATATGTGTAAGGGACTGTGTGTTAGTGAGGTTAGAGGGGAATTTTTTTTCTTTCTTTTCTGTCTGCCCCTAGAGGGGAAGTTAGAACAGTCTACAACCCACTGTAATGTAGATACGAAATTTAATTCACTATTTGAAAATATAATACTGGTATAGACAACAAACAGTATGTATTAGATTATTTAAGTAACATAATTGTTTCTGTTTTTTATAGCTGTTCATGATTTTCTGATGTTTTTTTAAATCTGTGAAGGCCGGGTTTCTCCTTAGTGACTCAATATTTTCTTTAGCTGATACTTTACCTTTTCTCATTGCCTTGTAGGCAATTTCATTGCCTCCTTTTGCAAAGTGTCCTTATCACAATGGCTTCACCCTGAACACTTGGCTTCCTGTGGATCCATTAAATAACATTAATGTTGATAAGGATAAGCCTAATCTTTATTGGTGAGTAATATGCTTTACTTTAGGATTTTTTTCCTTTAAGTAATTAAAATTTGAACTTATATAATATAGTATTAAGTCTATTTTAGATAGAGTATATGTATGTTAAAACTAAGCATTCAGATAAATAAATTTTATTTACTTATCATTTTACTATTATGTCTAGGTGACTTTTTTTAACTTACTTTTCCTCACAGTTTAAGACTCAGTGGTTCAGACCTTCCTGCCCATCAGTTGTGAGGGTGCTTCATGTTGCTGGTGCCTCATCCAGGAGAGGGAAAAAAAAAGCCAGATTCTATATAGATTTTATTTGCTTTGACTTTTTACTTATTTTATTTATGAACATAATTGCTACATGATTAAAAAAAACCATGTATGCTATCATAATTAAATGAGTCCCTTTTCTTATTTTGATTAAAATATACTCTTTGTTAATCAGCTATATTATTAATCAAAATTGGCTTTTTTTAAATTTGTAAGCTATTTTCTAATGTATATGTGACTTAGAGAGCAAGTTGTTTTGTTTCCTAATTGTAGATGGTCCTTAAAGGTAGATGAAATCTACTTGGTAGACTTTGTTGACTGTTAGTTCTTATGTATCCTGATATTTTAAACTGAAATATTAAAAGCTGCAGTAGTCCTTTATTTCCTAGCTTGAATTCCTTGTGTTTTAGTTACTATAGCTCTCTTATGTTTTAGTTTTTATTTGATCCATGTTAAACTTCTACTTTTCAAGGAATTAAGTTTTATTTTTATATGAAATAATATTTAATGGACATTAGGTATATTTTTCCTTTTATCTGATTACTATATCATTGCACATTCATTACAGTTTTGTACTAGCAAAGAAGTTGGCTATTTTGCACAGTTTGTTGGCTCAATAGTTACATCAGCAAAGTCCAAAGGAAAAGGTTTTCAGCACTGTGGGAAATATGATCTTCAACCATGCAAGGTAGGTAAAAAGTAAGTATTCAGTCAGTTGAGTCTTATAAAGTCACTGTTTTCTTTGTCATGAGACTTACCCACTGTGATTTCTATAATAGTCTCTTTATCTGGTTTTCCTGATTATTAATGCTGTTCTCATATTCTTGTCTGAATTCCCTTTGTACTTTTATGTTTGACCTTTGTCATTTATAAGGTCAGTCTTTTGAATCCTTGTATTGTATTGACAAGAAAGAACCCTTGTCTCAGATTCTTTCATTCTCTCTCAGTTTGGTTGGTTCTGTGGCATTCTTTGAGGAAATAGTTACTGAATATATGTTGAGTACCAGACACTCTTGTAACACTTGGGATATGACAGTGAACAAAGCAGAAAACATCTCTGCTTTCATAGCATTTACATTTTATTAGGGATTTTTACTCAATTTCATGAAAGTCTTCTATTCTCATTCTTATATTCTTAGCTACTAAGAGATGTGGTCATATGGAGGTTTTTTTGTTCCCTGAACCTCAGAATATATAACACTGAAATACTGTCTCCAGTCCCATAGCCACCAGTGTTCTGAAGTCTTCTGATTAAGAGCGCTACCATCTTCATAATAGTTGGGACTTACATTAGCTGGACTCTTTACTCTGTTTAATCATTGTAATAGTTCAGTTTTTGAGTCCCACATATTGTTTTGCAGAAATATGTCTATCTCCTTTAAATATTCCCTTACTTACTGATTTAATTATTCATATTGCTGTCTCTTTGTCTTGGATGAATTATCTCTTCTTCTATACTAATATTGGACTTACCTTTCTGATGATATTCTACCACTCAGACTACAGATTTACTTATCACTAGCTACAGAATAAATTGAAAGTAGTAATCAAGCAGTTTATGACTTGTATGTTCTGTTTTTATTTTTTACCTTTTCCTTTTTCAGTTTGCATAAAATGCCTACCATGAATGTTTGTACTTGTTTCTCTCCTCCACAGCTGTTGGTGTTCAAATCCCATCACATTGGTATGTCTTCTTTTATATAACAGTATTTCCATGGAATCCTTCCTTGATTTATAATGTTATCATATGTAATTAATCCTTGCAGAGCATTTATTTTAGTATTTCTAATGGCAGTTATTTCACTTAACCCTTCATTATTCATGCATGTGGAAATTACTTAGGACTGCTGGACTAAAATCTGTGTTGGATTCATCTTTGTTTCTGTCAAATATGTGGCAGAAAGCATTGAACTTGTTAGACTGTCAAAAGGATATATTAGATAAATGTATAAAATATGACTTTAACAACAGAAATCCCCTTGCTTCCTAAAGGAGTAAGTAACATATATTTGGAACAGTTATTTCTCAGTAGCATGAGATTGATAGGGTGTTACATGTTAATAAAGTGAAGGAAGGAGGCCTGGGCTTTACTGTGGGCAGTGCTTTTTTTGCTAGGGAATGATACTAAGAACCTTTTCCACATAGCAAAAAGAAGAAAAGTAGTCAGGGCAATAAAGACCAAATGGCTGAGGTTGTAGCCTTTTTTTTTTCTTGGTACGATAATGTATATTGCAAAAATAAATTAATTTTTGGTATTATAATAGAAAATTAGAGTATTACCTATGAATATTAAAAGAGATTTTATGCTTTTTGAGAAATATTAAAGGGGATTTTATGCTTTTGTATAGTTTTGATGGTGAATACAGTTACTTAGAATGTCAAGAGCTAATCCTTTTTTATCTTCATTTTGATCCTAGTTTTGATAGTGTATATTATTTATTGATAATATAACTTTAATATTGCATAATTTGTAAATTTGATGCATATTATGAAGAAATTTTAGTGTCTTTCATAATTTTGTACCTATTAAAATAATAAAAAAGTGTTTTAGGAATTATATATTCAAAGATCTTCTTAAAGGTAAACTTTTAATGTGAAATATATGTCTTACTTTGTAGTTTCAAACTTGTAATGTTCTTTGAACAAATGTTACTTTTATTACAATTTTTATCACAGTTCTGCTTTCTCATGCTTTCTTTCCCTCCACTATTTACTCCTCCTTTCTTTGCCTCTTTCTTCTCCTCCTGTCCATTTTTCCATCTTATTTCTTCCTCTTTTCTTCTCCTTCTGTCCCATTTTCTTACTCTTCTCCATCATCCTTTACTTAATAAAACTACTTTTTAGACCAGCCTCTCTCTCTCTCTCTCTCTCTCTCTCTCTCTCTCTCTCTCATCACACACACACACACACAGACACCCATACCTACCCACCCCTCCCCATTCCCCTCAGATTTCTACCTCTTTCTGATGTGGAATTATGAATAATTAGCTCTTTTGTAGAAGTTAAAATTAAAATTGGGAGAGATTAATCTAATTCTAGTAGTTCTGAATCCTGTTTCCTGAGATTGAAGGTTTTGCCAATTTCTGCTTCTTCTGTAATCCTGGCTTTAAGGAGACAAATGTTACTCTACTGTTAATGTTTTGTCCCATGAAATATGTCCTTATTTAATAACCAGTTAAGGATACTTCATAATACTTTTACTTAATGTTTTTTATTTTGGTGGAGGAGAGGTTGAAACATAGTTGAAAAAGTGCTATAAAGCTGCTGTAAAGCTAAATGATAAAAAGAAAAGCACAAAGAAATGTGCAACTATATTAACTATATATATGTGTATATATATATATATAATATATATGATATATTTCATTCACCATCAGCTGGGGTTTCTGGAGAAATGTTTCTGCCTGTTCACCAGACTGCATCTTTGTGTCAGAGTAACCAACCACTTGAAAAGCCAAACAAGAATAGAAGTATAGGAGTTTGTCTTCCCTTCTGGTCCTCCTTCTAAGGTTCAAACTTTGTTCTTATATATATGATAGTGTGATTGTCAACCTTTACCAGAGCAGTTTACCCTCTTCCCACAGACATATTGTCTTATCCTTGTGACAATAAAATAACCATCATAGAGATGATGATCCAATGTGGTGGGAGGGGTGTCTTTCTTTTACTTTTTTGTTTGATTTATTTTATGATATCCTTTGTATGCATTGTCACATAGTGAAAAATTATTTTCCTTGGAATTCTAAAATATTTTAGAAAATTTACATGATGGTAGCAAAAACTTCATATTTAAGGAGTAGTAACATTTTTTCTATTAAAGAATGTCAATTTAATAATCAGTCATTAATACATTCTCAGAAAATTGTTTAAAAAAATTGATTCTGAATAAATATATTTGTTCATTAGAATAGTGTTTTTTTCATGTGGGGGAAGGACAGTTCAGATCTTAATTATTAGCATGAAAATCTGACTGCCTGTTTGCCAGGAGTTGATTTGTTATAATTGAGGTGAGATGCAAATAGAGTTTGCTAAATGTGCAAAAATTATTTAGAGTTTTAGTGGAGCTCATTATAAATACAGATTCTTGGAATTATTTTCATGTTAGGAATATGTATTCTTAACAAATATTATGGATAAATTGATCTCATTTGTAAAGTTTAAGAAAGTTGCCTAAAGTACATAAAAATTAGAATTTACAAACCAAATGAGATTGTTGTTAACCAAGAAGAGCAGTTTAAACCAGATATTCTCATTCATTTTGTACTTTTACTCTTTTCTTATGAAAAACACATTCCCATTGGTAAGAGCTCTCTTTAAATACAACAATTTTAAGAAGTCTTGATAGGGACAGGATGTAGGGAATGACTCAGGTTCAAAAAAAGCTTTCAGAAAAGATTCTCATAAACTTTGAAAATCATAATTATTTGATTTTACTGTTTTTCAGTATTCAAGACAAAATTCACTTAATTCAAAATTCATTCATTCCTTTAATTTTCTAGGACATGCCCTAGTTAAATTGGTACTGTCTTCCAAGTAGGAATAATTAACTACAATAAAGTGGTTAGACATTTTGAAAACAAATGAATCTGTACAGTAAAACTTTTGCTTTCCCAGCTGCACCCACTTACTGGCTCATGAAAATGAATGTACACAATGAATACATAACCTAGTTTGTAGAAAGTGTTCAATACATGTTTGCTACTATTGATATTTGTGTATCATGTTGTATTTTTATTGTCTTCAATTTACTTATTTTAAAGTTGCAATATGTACCTCAGGAATTCTTAATTTCAATATTTTTTCTAATATCTGGCTGGTTGTGTATAACATCAAGTTTTGGACCTCAAATGTAGACTTTAGGACATCTATTTATTGTTAGTATGTACACTTAGTCTTCTGATTTATTCTTATTTTTTTAATCAAAATGTCTTACCAAAAGTTGGAGTCTTTTGAAACATTGAAAAACTCACTTGTGCCTCTTCTCTGTAGCATACATTTTGATGTTCCAAGATAAGAGAACAGAAAAATAAATTTTCATATAAATAAATACTGTGACCTTCACTGAGATTAATTCCTTCATCAATCTATGCATTCATTTATTCACTCCTTTTATCTTAAAAGTAGTTGTAACCTAAATGACTATTTTGTGTTTTTTGGTCCTCTTTTATTAGCTATCATAGCTTAATCCTAGCAGCTCATTTAAGTGAAAAATTGTAGACCATCATAGACTCCCCTTTTCTATAGGAAGGTTTCCAGTCAGTTCCATTAGGTTCTCCTCCACCCTCACTTAACCTACCAGTGTCTTTGTGCTGGCTGTTATGGCTTCTTTCTTGAAGCTTTGCAGTAGATTTTATGTTTTTCCTTATCTGTATTTGACTAATATAGCACTTCAACATTGCCACTAATTCTACACTATGATGATGATCATTTCACTTTTCTGCTCAAAATTCTTTAGTGATATCACATTATGCAAAAGACACAGGTCATATTCCTAAATGTGTCCTAAAAGCCTGTTTACAATCTGATATTTACCTTTGTTTCCTGGAACATCTAAACACCGAGATGAATTTCATCAAGTCTTTGCTGAACCTTAAGATTCCTCTGTCTGGAATGTTTGTTTCACCTTTGTTTATTCAACAATTCCCTTTAATCCTGCAAGATTAGTATCATTTCATTTTATTCATAGTGAATTCTTCTATAATATTTTACCTATGCTATTTGACTTTCCCTGTTACCATATTTTAGTCACTACATCTTTTGTTCCCTGTTGTATCCAAAGATAATCTCCATTGC